GGAATAGATGATGCGTGGGCTCTACAGTTCTATGATTATGTGTGCCACTGAACATTTCCTCTGACTCTGGTACTCAATAGGATCAGGAGAGTGGTTCCACGGCTTCTTCCCCCCACAAGGGCTGCTGTGGCATTTTCATGCATATTTCTTCCAATATATGCTCTCGCTCTCTCTCTCTCTCTCTCTCTCTCTCTCTCTCTCTTTCTTACACAACTTAGCCAAATATGCAACTTTTTGCAAGGAATTTCCCTGAATATAATTCAAATGCACTGGCAGATGCAAATACTGCACTGCCCTCCCCCCTCCCAGTGAGTCACCTTCTGGGAAGCTAGCATAGGGCTTCCTACCCAGACAGCAAGCTGCTTCCATTGAAATCCAGGCACAGTTGTGTGTGTGGATTATTATTATTATTTAATAGCAAACTAATGCAGAAATGGGTGAACTGAAGATGGCAAAAATGAGAAATGGGGAGGCACGAGTATCGACAGATTCACCCATCCCTACAAAGTCATTGAGCATCTTGACTGGGTAGCTATGTACACTTCCGCTAGGATGCAAGCTAACCGACCAGAAAATCCTTTCCTTGTGAAAAGCACATCTTTGTTTTTGCCAGTAAACTAAACAAGTGATGTCACTTTTAAGCACACTGGAAGCATCCCCAGGAAGGAAAGGCTTGCCTCCATTGTGGACAGAGCAAAATCCAACTGTCCAGTCTCTCTCTCTTGCTTCAGTGGTCATCAGGGGGCTCTCCTGCCTTGTAGGCAGAGGCTAGATGGAAACTCCAGGGAAGACTAAGGAGGTGGACAGGATATGGCAGGTGAATAATCCAGGCATCACAGGAGAATGGGTTATTCTCTTCTCTTCTCTTCTCTTCTGGATGTGCTTTTTTATTCAGAGAATCTTTTATAAGTTGCTTTCAGGTTCTCTTGGGGCTATGAATTAGGGTGTCAGTTTTCTAAATACTTAGGATTAAAAACAAGCATTTAGAACCTTTTAATGGGATTGTTTTATCTTGTATTTTAATAATGGGATTTTTAAAGAAATATTGTGTAGTTTTAACAATGTTGTGTAATTGCTTTTTATATTTGGTAAACCACTTAGGAACCTTATGTTTGGCATTAATTGTTATTATTATTATTATGATTATCATTACCCATTTTATAGCCCCAGGAGACGTGTAACAAAGGGCAAGAAAATGCTGATCCATGGGTACTCTTAAGAATACCGCGAAAAGTTTGATGGATGAATAGGCACATTCTGCCTGGATAGCAGTAGTATTCCTCGTTACTTTTATTCTCTTTCCTTTCAATATTATTGTTAATAAGACACAGCAAGCTATGTTAATATTGCTGTCTACTTTGCTTCTGTTTGTTATTATATCCAATATGTTTTGTTGATACATATGCAAATTTAAAAATAAAAGTAAAGCCAAGAGAGAAGGCTTTGCACCTCCCAGCAGAGCCCTGGCTTCCATCCCAAAGGCTTCAGTTCTTTGTGGACAAACAGAAGAAGACGCCTTTACCCTGGTATGGCTCCCCTTTATCACATACACAGCCCAACAAGACAATGACAATAATCCACCAACAGCATACAAATCAATATGGCTAACCTGATCCAAAACACCCACCCACCCCACTCACACATGAAAACAAAGATCACCACAGCCAATCACAAACAAACAACCACACCCTAGGTCAACCCCAACCTCTCTCACCACCAAAGGAACACAAGTGAACAGCAGAGAACCTGCACGAGCAACACTGACACCAAACCCTACATACATTAAGCAAAAGAGAAACATCGCCACCCGACCCCACCCCCACCCATCTTCCTCCCTCCACCCCTTTTCTTCCTAATGTCTCAACAAAAGAAAGTGATTTGTAAAAATGTTACATAGAAAAATACGAGAGACATTACACATACTTCTGTAAATCAAGAAAATCTTTAATAATAAAAAAACAAAATCAAAAGCCAAAGGCTTCAGTTCTCTGACGGATCCCTGTGTCCTCTTCTCACCTCTTTCCTCTTTCTGCCTCTCCTTTCCCTGCCTCTCTCCCTTCCTCTGGTCCTCCCACCACCTTCCCCGTCTTACTACCACCATCCACAGGATGCCTCAAGCTAATCAATGCTTTAGAACTGTAACTCAGCCATTGATCCGCATTTGTGGGCTTCCGTAAACTTTTGCCTGTAAAGGTTTTTACGAGCATGCCTCACAGTCATTACGTCAAGTAATGGGAAACATCCATCTTCTTCTTCTGCCCCTCTCTGGCAGTCAGTGGGAAGATTGGTTTGAAAAGCATTCAGGGAGCTATAGAAATGATTGGCCCCCTTGTTTCCTTATGAGTAGGCCGCTCTCCCATACTGACTAAGGCTCAGGGCTTTTAAACATGGTCAGAAGGCAAGTGATGCTTGTAAGTGATGCTGACCACTGACATGCAATATCAGCAAACCTCATTATCAGTGGGACCAGTGTTGTGTACACAAGAGTGTGGTCTGCTGACAGTTAGAGTGAAATACAACTTCATATAAGGCACAGGGAGGGTTCTGATAGGCACATGGAAAATGGGTTGAGTAAAGTTGCATTTCGAGGACTGTGATTGGATGAAGAGATGGTGAAGCAATGGAGTGGCAGAAGGGAGCTGGTCAGAGGATGAACAGCTAAGATGACATAAAAAAAATTCTATCTGGAGTGTTTCCCAATGGGAAGATCTTGCTGATTCTTTGGAAGATGATAAACTCCCTTGCATTGGAGGTTTTTAAGCAGAGGATGGGAGGCCATCTATCATGGATGCTTTAGTTGAGATTCCTGCTTTGTGGGAGAGTTGGGCCAGAAAACCCTTGCTGTTCCTTCCAACTCTATGATTCTGCAATTCTTCCCCATAATACATTACTGAATAAAATCTGACCTTTTGGGAATTTGGTTTGAACCTCCATACTTGGAGAATTTCTCCCACAATGCCCATGTTCATTGGTCACCCACGGACAACAGTGAATGTATTGTTGGTGAGGATCACTGTTGTGGCTCCATTGTCTGCCGTGACCCCAGCCCTCAAAAGCACCCAGGGCTCTGGCACAGAAGGGGAAGGCACACATTTGGGGTACTGATATTCTGGCTAAATTGGTTAGGGAAGAAGCAGAGCATGGGGGGCTAGTGGGGGTGGGCAAAGCTGGAATTCAACTGCCCAGTGGGGGAAAAAGGGGGAAACAAATACCCAGTAATGAATGATATCTTTCTGTTTAATTGACAACTCTATTAATGCCGCTGAAAAAGCAGCTAAGTTCCTTCAATCTTCAGTACAAATTGGGAAGCCAATTGTAAAGTAAGAACTTCCTTTTCAGTCCGTCTGTGAATTTATCTGTCTTCTTTCTTTTTAAAAAATGTATTTTATGCTTTTTATCTATCTTTTTTTATTGGTCTCCAACCATAATAAATGTATTCATTCATTCCATTACCCAATAATGTGATTTTAATGCCCAATAGCTCACTGTGGGCTGGGGGGAAGAAAAGAAAAGCTGTTGGCAGCTGCTTTTTGCCTCTATCTTATGTTTAAGGGTCCATTTGCAGCCCTGTAATTAGATTCCAAGTTTTTGTGGGGTTGCCACTCCAAAGCAGTGCCCAGCAGGAATGCTGTTAAAAGTGGGAATGGTCCTTCTCAGGCCACACTCACACCATACATTTAAAGCACTATGACAGTTATGGCTTCCCCTAAAGAATTCTGGGAGCTGTAGTTTGTTAAGGTGGCGTGGAGTTGTTAGGAGCCCCAACTCCCATTCCCCTTAACACAGCTACAATTCCCAGATTTCCTGTAGAAGTGGAATTGACTGTTCAACCACTCTGGATGCTGTCTTCTGGACCCATTCCTGCAGATAAGGTATTTCCAAAATGCCCAAGGCTTAATGGGAAGAGGTGGGATGCATGGCAGAGAAAAAGAATGAGGGAGGTCCTTCCAATCCCACCTGTGCCTGTAATAGTTTTATCATTCATTTATTTAAATGTTTATGAGCCTCTATGTCCTCTGTGTGTGAGTGTGTGCTGTTTACAACAATAAAAACTTAAATCTATGCAATAAAACTATTGAAAAGTTTTAAAAGGCATCAATTACGGTAATCATTGTGGATGGTGGAATTCTTAATCGCCTGCATAGGCCAGGTGGAATAGAAAAGTTTTTTTCAGCAGGCATTCAAAAGTTATCCCAGAAGGCACCTGCTGAATCTCTAGTGGCAGAGAGTTCCACAGGACTCTACCAATGATACTTGTTGTTGTCAAATGAGCCTTGCCAACTGGGAGAATGGTCCTGCAGAGGATCTTAGTGACTGAGTTGGGAAATAAGAGTTCCAGCAATCCCTGAGGTACCCTGGACCTCAGTTGCTTCGGGCTTTGTAAATTAATACAATAGAAGCAGCAGCCTTTGCTTCCCTCCCCTTGACCCAAAGCTGCTTCTTCTGTAGATCTGAGTATCTCCTGAAACAAAATTCTTCATGGGAGGGCTTCCCAAGTAGCTTTGCAAGCTCCCTCATTTCTCTCCTTCACCGCTGAAACAAGGAATAGATCACAGAGCATTGCCTGACCACAAGCTAACACAAGGGGACGGACTCCTGTGTGACCTAATGAGATCAGCTGGCACACACATTGCCTATGTGGAATGCCAAGGAGCAAGAGAGGGGCACATTGACAACCTCACCTCCTGCTCATCACTCCCAGGGCAGCTGGAAGCAGCACATCACCTGGACCCTCCCTCTTGCTAATTAACGGTCTGGGTAATAAATAGCATCCCTTTTATTCATGGGCAGGTGTGCATCTTTGTCAGAGGTCTCCACTTAAATCATCCGCTCCGCCTCCCATTGCAATGTGAGCAGCTCGCAGAGCTGGCTCCGGGCTGTAAAACATATTTCCCTGATGTTTGCTCAATATTTCCATGAGAATTAAACACATCTATTACAGGCTGCGGGATGCTAACAGGCCCCAGGAGCAGACACCAAGCTGTAACTCACCAGAAGGGCTTTGCCAGGACCACAGATGGTGGCACCGAGGCAGAGCTGGAGCCCAGGGAGAGAGGGAGAGACAGAGAGAAAAGCATAACCTTCTGTTGGTGGCAAGGCTGGTGATGGTGCAGTTGGCAGCCATGCGGGGAGAGAAACAGATGTCTCCATAAGTCTTTGCAGGCTCCAAACTCTTCAAGACTAGCAGGAAGCAACCACATGGAGATATCTAGCCCCTTCACCTAGCCTAGAGTCTTCATTATACATCTTTAGGTGCCAGGCAAAAACGTACCTCTTCAACCAGGCCTTGGGCTGATTAACATTCTACAGCCTTTTAAATGTTTCTGTGGTAAGTGGGTGGGGTATTGTTTGGCTGATTTGTTTTCTTTGTTTTCATGTTTTTGCTTGTGTAGGTGTAGGTCCCCAGGCCACCCCTCAAATAATTTCACACATAACACGTAATTTTAGTTTAGGTTTTTGGGCACTATTTTGGCCACAACTTTATTAAAATACAAAATCAGTGAGTGGTTGTTTAGACATTGGTTATGACTATCTGTCCCCCCACCTGGGACAGAACTGACATACCGAGGTCCGATCGGAAGCCAGCAGAAGGGAAAGTCAAAATTGGGGATCATTTGAGCTAAGCGTCGGACCCACGCCACTCACCCCAGCAGCTCCCCAAGGCTCGCCGGCCCTGGTCCCATGACAGGGATTGGACGAAATCGTGGCAAGCCCCAGGATTCCTTTAATGGAATTCCCTTCAGCGCAATAGGAGGGGCAGGCACAGCCTATCCTGACCCCTCCACCACCAGCATTTTATAACCAATGCCTAACCGCAACCTTACAAGTTGTGACGAATTGCTAAGTAGTAGGCAAAAACCAAATGGCACAGCCAATCAGCCAAATGGCAAAATTCCTACTAGGCCCCTGCACCAAGGCAGGCGACCCCATGACAGGCAGAGCAAGGTCAACAGGAAAAGAGGGCAGGTGATCCAATGCACTCTGCAAAAGAGAAAGAGAAACCAGAGTGCCCCAATATTTAAAGACTATGGTCCCACCCAATTTGCAACATATAATTTGCCCCAGCAACCCGGTTATCCAATCAAGTACCTGGCAACAACCATTAACCTGCCTGGCAACAATAGGGCTGGCCCGGCGGTCCACACCGCAACACGCGCTCTCATTTAATTGGAGAACGCGCTTTGTCCTTTATCTTATTCTGCGAACCACCCTGAGAGCTTATGATGAAGGGCAGCATATAAATCAAATCAATCAATGGATATTAAGGGGTGGTCCATGCAACCAGCAAACAAGCCGATAAAATACTTTTCAACAACAGTTCTCAACCACTGAGACAGGACCTGGTACCATATTGATGATATTTAACATTTTTAGAGCATCCCAGAGTTTTCAAAATAGTGTTAGCTAACGTCTTCTGAGTTCAATTCAGAGTCAGCTGGTTGATTCTACATTCTTGGCTAAGGTTTAGAACACGGATGAAAAACCTCAGGGCCAGGGGCCAAATGTGGACCTCTAGGTCTCTTTATATGGCCCTTGAGACTATCCCCAGGCCACACCCCTGTCTGAGCCCCAGCGGTGTAGCGTGGGTTGTCAGCACCCGGGGCAAGGCAAGTAATTTGCACCCCCTAACCCGGGGCAAGGCAAGTAATTTGCGCCCCCTAACCCCTAACCTGCCGCCGCTGCCAGCTTCTTCTTGCTGCTGCCTGGTCTGGTCTGGTGTGGTTCTCTCCCGCGCTCAGTGCTGCGCTGGGCGGCCGCTGCACTGTCCCTCCCCCAGATAGTCCCTCGCTCTCTCTCTGCACCGCACACCTGGCACCCACCCCCTCCACAGTGGGCGGCAACCCAGCGGCTCGGATCGGATTCGCACAGCCAGCACTGCAGTGAGAGAGAGTGAGTGAGCCAGGTAGGGGCAGAGAGCTGCGAGTGCGAGTGCGCCCCCCCCCCCAGATGTTGCGCCCGGTGCGGCCACCCCCCTGCACCCCCCACGCTACGCCACTGCTGAGCCCCACCCCTCACTGGCCTTGCGGCACACCCTTTTTGTGTGTGTTTTGCCTGGCTGTAGGGACGCAGGTGGCGCTCTGGGTTAAACCACAGAGCCTAGGGCTTGCTGGTCAGAAGGTCAGTGGTTCGAATCCCCATGATGGGGTGAGCTCCCGTTGTTCGGTCCCAGCTCCTGCCCACCTAGCAGTTCGAAAGCACACCAGTGCAAGTAGATAAATAGGTACCGCTCCGGCGGGAAGGTAAGCGGCGTTTCCGTGCGCTGCTCTTGTTCCTCAGAAGCGGCTTAGTCATGCTGGCCACATGACCTGGAAGCTGTACGCTGGCTCCCTCGACCAATAAAGCGAGGTGAGCGCCGCAACCCCAGAGTCAGTCACGACTGGACCTAATGGTCAGGGGTCCCTTTACCTTTAATGTCTCCCTCAACTCCAATGAAGAAACTAGCCTACTGTACTAAACATTCATTGCTCTGTCCATCACTGGTATGTGGCCCCCAGAAGGCTCCACGGAAAGGGATGTGGCCCTCAGGCTTACTCAGTGCACCACTTATTGCAATATACTGAATTCTTGATTTTATTTTATTTATTTATTTTAAAAAGACATTTCACAAACCAACGGAATTGCCAATATTTTTAATCAGCTGGCTTTAGCAGCGGCTAAATCAACAGGCATTTAATGGTGATCATTTATTTCTTCATTTTATCTCCATACTGTGAAAAGATTCATCAGATGATTTCCACGTCTCAGTGGCTGTGAATCAGATAACAGCAGGCCAGGCTTTTGGGGGGGGGCGTGTTTCCTGGTCAGTTGGCAATCCCACCAGCCTTCCCACATGCCAACAGCTCTCATGTGATAGCAGCTTCTCCTGCCAGTGCCCCACCCCTTCCCTGACTTCTGGAAGTTTTAAAAATATTGTTTTTAGCAAAATATTTATTCCGCTAATGAAGCAGAGCCTCCGAAGGTCAAAGCTGAGATTGTTGCAATCAGCTCCCTTCTTGGAGCTCCAATGAAAGGGGTGCTGATTGCAGGTGCCAATCAAAGTTCTTAGCATCACTTGCCTATTAACAAAAGTGTATAAAAACACTTCTTCCCGGCAGCCAAATTAGGGGAGATTTGAAATTCAGGCCTTTGGCAAGCACAAGGCCAGATAGGAGGGTCAAGAGGACACAGATTTGAAAAAAATAAGGAAGGAAGAGCCTTAGCTGAATCAGAAGACCACCAAGCAGGGCTAATTCTGTCCTTCTGAGAAGCTGATTATAGCAGCAGCTATCCTATCTCAGAGTCTGCAAGTCTGTTCATCTATCCCTGCCCTCTGCCCTGCACAGGAGTCAGTCTTGATTAGCATTCATCCTTATTGTTTCCTCTAATTCCCAATGTTCAGACTGCACATTCTGATGCTTACAAAGCCGGCACACTACTTCTTTATTTCATAAAAAATTATAAGCCGCTTGTTTGCAAAACAAACATACCCAAAGCGGTTTTCAAAAAAGGTAAAACAAGAAAACCAAGGGGGAAATACTACAGTTTTATTCATACGATAAAGTGAAAAGAGTAAAACCGGTTAAAATAAGCAACAAATTTATCAGCATCTAGGCAGGCTTGTCTAAACAAGAATGTTTTCAGCAGGCACCAAAAAGGACACAGTGAAGGAGCCTGCATGGTATCAATAGGCAGGGAGTTCCAAAGTACACACTAAGCAATCAAGTTCTTACAAGTGTGAAATGGGTATTATGTGGCAGCTGTAGAAGAGCTGATTCCACCAACTGAAGAGGTTGAGTTGGCACATGAGAAGAAGAAGAAGAAGAAGAAGAAGAAGAAGAAGAAGAGGAGGAGGAGTTTGGATTTGATATCCCACTTTATCACTACCCGAGGGAGACTCAAAGCGGCTAACATTCTCTTTTCCCTTCCTCCCCCACAACAAACACTCTATGAAGTGAGTGGGGCTGAGAGACTTCAAGAAGTGTGACTAGCCCAAGGTCACCCAGCAGCTGCATGTGGAGGAGCGGAGACGTGAACCCAGTTCCCCAGATTACGAGTCTACTACTCTTAACCACTACACCACACTGGATAAGGCGTTCTTGTAGGTAAACTGGTCCCAAGTTGTCACTGGTCCCTTGAACTCGGCTTAGCAGTAAATCAGGCAACCAGTGCAAATCTCTGAGCACTGACAAGGCCTGCAGCATTCTGCACTAACTGCAGCTTCCGGATCAAGCCCGAAGGAAGCTCCAGAGAACAGTACCATCCATGCACCAGGACGGAGGCAGAAACACACACACACACACACACACACACAAATGAGGGGATTCCCTGGTGGGAAACAGCGAAAGAGAACTGAGCATGATCAGTAGCCTCAGAAAGCTGATTGACTATTGGAAGGGAAAACAACAAGAGGAAAAATGGGAGACAGGGAGAATGGAATGGAGTGTCGTAAGTAAAGGTGTGGTTCAAACCCTGAGTTTATAATGCAACATTTTGCTGCAAGGAGGGATGTCAGATAATCTCAATGGAAGTAGGAGTGGAGATTTCCAGCATTCGCCTATTTCTCCCATGTCTAGGGCAGAAATCAATCCGGCGAATATTATCAGTATTTGCTTTCAGTCCACTGCTTTTGGTTTGAGGCCTTTTCTCTTCCTGTCTGATTTAGGTTTTAACTGAGACGGCTTGTTTTATTTATTTTATTGTTATACCTCATATTTATATCGATGTGGATATATTCTTTTGGGGAGGTAAGGCAGTATAGAAACAGCCTAAACAGACAAACAAGTTGGCAAATTCAGATATGAACTGTCTCTACATCTACATCTCCCCCATCAGGAAAGTATGTAACATTCCTTCGCTATCCGTGAGCTTCACACTTTGCAAATGTTCTCACCTATTTCTCAGCTCCAAAACATAACTATTCTTTAAAATAATAATAATAATAATAATTTGAGATAAAATGCATTAGGAAATCCATGTTTAAGTACATATTTAAACATGTGCAGATTAATGCAGAAATGCGCTGAAGCAGACCTATGAGTAAATATGACTGAGGAGCTGATCAGGTCAGTTCCTTCCATGCTAATGCAAAGATAAGGTGTGATCCTTTGGCTTTGGCTTTTCTTAACATTTTACAGTGCAATTCTTGGCTCATAAAATTGTACCAGTACACATCTAAAAATGCATGTTTTG